TATTGGATCAATTTTTTGTGGTCGACGTTGATATGTGACAAGGGGAGGTGGAGGAGCTTGAATAGGAGTAGTTGCGGGAATAATAGAATGGGTAACCTCTTGGTTATGAAGTAAAATTTGAGGTGGAATGGAAACATGAGAACAAACTGGTAGAACCTATTGTATTGAAAGAGATCACGAGTGGTTCATGAGAAAAATGGAGTTTGTTCAAAGAAGGTGACATCTACAAATATGTAGAATTTTCTGGTATATGGGGAGTAACACTTGTACCCTTTCTGAAGACAAGAATAGCCTAAGAAAACACACTTAATAGCTCTAGCAGATAGTTTTTCCAAACCAGGAGAGACATTATGTACAAAACATGTACACCCAAAGACTCGAAGTGAGACATGAAACAAGGGTTCCTTTGGATAAATAATGGAGTAAGGGATTTTATTTTCAAGGGAAGAAGAGGACATTCTGTTTATTAAAAAACAAGAAGTGAGGATTGCATCAGCCCATTGAGATACAAGAACATTTTCATTGAGCATTAGGGTGCGTGTAGTCTCCACAAGGTGCCTATTTTTTCTTTCTGCTATTCCATTTTGTTAGGGTGTATGTGGACATGTAGACTGATGTAAGATACCCTATGAGGATAGGAAAGAGGATAATTCAGAAGAGAAATATTCTTTTGCATTGTCACTTCTAAAAATTTTAATTATTCTCCCAAATTGGTTTTTGATCTCATTGAAGAAAGACATAAAAATAGACAAAAGTTCATAATGATCTTTCATTAAATATACCCAAGTACATCGAGAAAATTCATCAATAAATGTTACAAAATATCTGAAACCAAAAGATGTTACACGACTTGGACCCCAAATATTATAATGAATGGTGGTGAAAATCGAGTTACATCTTTTATCAGTTTGCTTGGGAAAAGACGACCTGACATGTTTGCCTAATTGGCATGATTCACAACCTAACTCTTCTAAATTTTTAAGAATAGGAATCAAAAGTTTCAACTTGGATAGACTTGGGTGACCCAAATGATCATGCAAAAGTTTGAGTGACAAAACAACAATACAAGATACATGTGGTTGCATTTCAAAATAGTAGATACCACTAGATTCATGTCTTGCGCCAATCTTCCGACCCATACCACGTTCCTGAATAACAAAAGATTCAACATTAAAGGTTATTGAACAATTTAAAGATTTGGTTAACTAACTTAAAGAGATTAAGTTGAAAGGAAAATTAGGAATAAACAAAACAGAGTTTAGATTTAATGAGGGAGACAGAGAAACTTAATTGATTCCTTTAGGAACAATTCTAGATCCATCTGCTAAGGTAATAAGGTTAGGTGATTTAAGTGGGAACATGGAAGAGAACATAGAATTATTACTGATCAAAGGCTCCTGAATCAATGATCCATGGACTTTGATTTGTAGTTAATGAGAAATACAAGCTGTAGAAATAGTAGTGGTAGAGGAAGATTGAGCTCGAATTCATAGACTTCCGTTAAAGATATTCTTGATAGTCATCTTTAGGGATCTTCATATCAGATTTTTCTAATTTCTCAGAATTGGACAAATTTCCTATCTTCTCTGGAAAATCATGAAGAGAATGACCCATCCTCTTGCAGTATGAACATTGAGGACAACCATTTTTACCACCTCTTCCTCCTCGATTTCCATGACCACCTCTACCCCGACTAGAAACCATTGCAGAAGCTTCAACAATTCCACCATAGTTTTCATTCTTCTCTTCTGTAGGGACACGAAGAAGTCTAACTATTAGGCTGTCCATTGAAGGAATCTTGTGGCCGGTTAGAATCTGGTCACGAACATGATTGAAATCTGGGTGCAATGTTCTCAGGATCAGCACCATATATAGCCTATCAAATTTCTTATTTATTCCATCTAATGAATCATCTGTCAGGAACATTTTTAGTTCTTCTACAACAACTTGGGCTTCAGCAATGTGAGACGTCATTTCATGATTAATTTGTTTCAAGGATTCTATTAGCATCATACAACTGCTGAATATCATTTGCATAAATATTTTGAGTCTTTTTCCAAAAAGAACAACAAATTTTGAAGGCTCTAAGTGTTCCCAAAATATTTGGCTTAACCGACTGCCACAACACAACACATAGTTGAAAATCAAGCTTCTTCCATTTAGCTTGACTTTCATCTGAACCCTCAATGTCTTCCATTTCTAAGTGATCGTGGTACCCTTGACCAAGGAACCATAGTTCCACAGAGGCAACTCATGATAAATAATTATTTTCATTGAGTTTCTCCGTGGTTATGGTCGGAGTGCCAGAAATAGGCAAAACAAGACCTGGAGATGCCATAAGAAGATGGGTCGTGCAACATGGATTAGAGAGAGAAGAGCAATAGAAGAGAAACGTAGACCCACACCTTAAATGGTGGTTAAATCACAAAACTGAGTCTAGAAATATGCTCATGTATATTTTTAGGTTTTAGATTTTTATATGTGGAAAATTTGTTGATTATTCAAATTTTTAGGAGTTTACATTTTTTAAGTGTTTAGAAATAGAAGAGTGAATAGTTGTGGTTTTGCATGGTTTTATTTTTTTGATGTTGATGTGAGAAATAAAAGAGTAGTTAGTTGTAGTTTTGATTTGGAATTAATTTTGTTATATGTTATATAATTTAATTTATATGAAATTAAATTTTAAGTAAATTAAATTGAAGTTTAAAATTTTTTGTTTCTATGATTTTAATTATTTGATCTTCATGTAGGAGGATAAGATTATTTTGTTTAGGATTTAATTAATTATTCATTATTTAGGGACTTAAATATTTATTATTTTAATTTTACACGCACACTTCTTGATTGTGTATAATGAAGTTGATTAATTTATAGATTGTGAGTTTATATTTGATAATTGTGTGTATACATACCAATTTAATATTTATTTATCACTTTAATTTTTAATTTTGATTTAATAATTGTGGATATTGTGTAGTTAATAATTATAATTTATGTGTATACAAGTATTTAATATTTTTATTAAGATTGTTTGCATGAAATATGTATGTTATGTAGATACAATTTTATGCACACACTTCTTAATTGTGTATAATTAGGTTGATTAATTTATAGATTGTGAGTTTATATTTGAAAATCGTGTATATATACCAATTTAATATTTATTTGTCATTTTATTTTTTAATTTTGATTTACTAATTTTGTGGATATTGTATAGTTAATAGTTATAATTTCAAAATGCCCCAACAAAGATTTAATATGAGACCCATTGATGATTCATTGTTGAGTATGCAATCAGTTCACATCTCTAAGCATGTATGGAATGGTTAGTCCGATAGAGTTCTTCGTGTTAGAAGAGTTACCAAAAGTGGCCATTGAGATGGATCAATTATTGATGAAGTTAGACCTTTTCTTGCACAAGCAAGGATGCTGGGAGTGACAAAGATGTCATGCTTTCCTATTGACCACCACTTAATTTCAACATTAGTTGAATGGTGGAGACCCGAAACACACTTTTCACATGACATTTGGGGAGTGTACAATTACCTTGGAAGGTGTTTCAATTTTGTTTGGTCTTAAGGTACATGAAGACCCAATTATTGATTGTTCAACGTATAGATGGATTCCACTTGTTGAAGATTTGGTTGGGAATTACACCACCACCAAATGCAATTAAAGGTGGAAGGATGAAGATGGGTTGGGTTGATCAATACTTTTATTGATGTTTCCATGCATGTGCACAACGTGCAACAAATGGAACGGTATACCCGAACTTATATTTTACAGTTGCTTGGGGCATGCTTTTCTCTAAGAAGTCTTCAACATTAGTACCAATGCAATATTTGATAATGCTAATTAATTTAGACCAATGTGGTCAACTAAGTTGGGGATCAATTGTGCTTGTTGATTTATATCGAGAACTGTTCATTGTCACCAATTATGATCAAAAGGAAATTAGTGGGACATGTGTTCTACTACAGTTATGGGCATGGTATCGAATGCCATATTTTACACCCTTGATGACACCACTAAATATTGTTGGCTTCCTTAAGGTGCAAGGTAATATTTTCAATTAAATTAACTTATTAAATATTAGATTTAACATTAGATAAATATTTTTAATTAATTTGTTGTTTTTCATATTTTTAGGTGGAATAGTGCCTTACATACACCAAAAGAACATAAAAAAACCATTGTTCAGATTTGCGATGCTTTAGATAAGATGAAAGATAGAGATGTATGGGGAGAGTTGTTGTTTACAATTTTGAAGTGTATCTCTTGAAATTAGTATTAATTTATGAGCTTTTTTGTGTGCAATTTGTTTGATAGCCATACCTTCAGCATTTTCATTCGCTACCACCATATTGTGTAGAAAACACAAAGGCAGTGCCATTGATACTTTCATATAATTGAGTATCACCATCCTGACTGTGTGATGCATCAGTTTAGCATGGTACAACACATTTCGTGTCCTCTACGTCAACTAGATAATTTGCACGATCTAACTTTACGTGATAAAGAAGATATTGATTGGAGTGTTCAGCATGATGACGTTTTCTTTGTAATATTTGTTCAGGCACAAATTGTCACCCCTGTTGATGTTTTGCTTCCAGATGTCCACATGGCCAAAATAATTTATTTCGATAAATTATTTTTTAAATAATTTATTTTTGAAAATATTTAATTTTTTTCATTTATTAAGGCTAAAAGGCCCATCATATTCGTCTTAATTGTACAGCAGTAGTAGCAATGTAGCATAATATGATCCTAACAAGAACCTTGGGAAAACAGAACTTATACTGATATGAAGTAGTGCTTGAAGGAAGCAAGAGAGGAAGGAGGACACTGAAGCAACATATAAAGAACAGTCAATTCAAGTTTTTTAGGTTGAATAGCAAATGAACTAATACATAATTATTTTTAGATGGGTAAGACACTTTGTACAATGAGCATGCATTGAAACAATACAACAGTAGAAAAATCTAATGACATCTTTCATTTCTCTCCATATATTTCTTCCTATCACATCATGTCATTGACTATATGAATCAGCTCTATAAGAAACACTTTGATAAGTTTAATTGACAAATACAACCGTAAGAAAATCCATAAGCCTTTCCATATAAATGATAAATCAAATTTAATTAAACGCTCCAACCAATTGGAGGTACGACCAGCATCATGCTCAACCCTTAACTTGCCGTAGGACATGGTCTTGAAGTTAGTTCCCAACAATCCCCATGGGAAGAAACGAAACATTAGCAACATCGACCATACGTATTTGATTGTTGCCCATGTCCATTTCCCTTCATCCCAACGTTCTTTTCCCCCCAAGAATACTGCTTCTGCCAAATATTTGAAAGAAACAAATTCACGACCATTGGGAAGCAGAACAATAGAGGCAGTCAATTTCCCATTATATTTATTCAACCTCAAACACATAGCATCTTCTGCTATCCTACTCATCAATTCTTCCAAAGCAGGGTCGTACTCGTGGCAATCACGTTCTTCCGGTTCCTTCCCCTTCTCAGTGGTTGAAGCTTTCAATAGAACAATGAATGTGATGTCCAGTGGAGCTATGTTGCTTGACACTGATGAGCTCCACACAACTCGGGATACTGCAACGAACCCTGGTTCTCCATGTTTTATGTGCAACCTTCCCCAATAGCGACGCCGACGAAGATGCCGACTTGGATCTTCCTGATCATCCTCTAGGATAATAAGCATATCATGGACAAAAGTGTCTTGCCCTTCTTCCCTCATAAATTCTATCCGAGCCCTTAAGTTTTCTTCCATCACTCTGTATCCATGTTGCATGGCATCATTAGGGTATGTATCACGAACATGTTTTGGTGTGCTCTCTTTTATAATCTCTATGACTCGCAACACATCCCAGGTAGATTCCTCATGATATTGTTCTATACTTGCCCCGTAATCACAGGCTGAAACTTTTCCTTTAGAGTCAGCAATAGTGTGCCTCACAGACCTTAAAAGAAACTTTGTAAATGCATGTGCCTTGTCAAAAAGAGACAAATAATACTGGCCTAAAAGTTCTCTCGGATTGAAGTTTGCATAGAAATGCCTGCATGTTTGCTCAAACTGCTCTTTTGGAACCAAAACTGATGATGGGATAGGGATGCTAGAATTCTTAAATCGGATATCATCAATGTTTGTTTTCTGCTTGTACACAAATACTCCCCATTTTCTCAATGGCAAGAATGAGTGATATTGAACCTGAATGGCCCTCCATTCATTTCCAATAACATGTGCATCAAGACCTTGCCATTCTTCGTCACTGAACAAAACCCGTAGATCACACAACAGCACGTGATCCTCCCCAACGCTGCAATAATGGTTCTCTTTGCGGCACATTTCTTGGCCGTTTATGAACAAGTGGACTCCAACTGTGTGGGACAGCTCTACCTGGACTTGGGGCAAGCCCAATTCTGTAGGGGGGAAGGGAAACTTTTTCATGACACTCTTCTTGTCTTCGCCCACCACAAATGCTAAAGCAATAGTAGGGAACTTATTGCGAGCCCACATCAACGGAATACCTTCCTTGCTAATATAATCAAACCATTTTGGAATGTTTGTTTTTGGCATCACAAATTGAATTCTTTCCTTTTCTTGGCGAACCTGTAGCATCAAAATTGCAAGTTAAGTAGACTCATTGGGAGACATTATTAGCTAGTCCAGTTCCATCATGGTTTCTATTAATCTTCATATGACACATAATAAAGTTTTTATTAATTCTTTAAATGTGTTATGTAAACATTGTTTGGGATCACGAACAAGTGGTAGAACTATAAAAAAGTTTCGTAAAATAAATCTAAGTTGACTGATGTATATATAATTATATAGTTTAGGTAAAAAATGATCAAAAGTAGTGAAACCTTAGACAACAGCAATTTTGATGCCTGTGAAGTTAAGCCCCAACAATATCTCGCATTTACTTTTTGGATACTTAGAGGGAGTTCTGGAATGCTCCTGAGATTGTTGCAATGACTCATATCAAGACTTTTTAAGTGCAGGGATCCTTTGGTGCATGCTGGGAGAGATACCAAATCATTGTAAGAAACCTTCAAGGCTTCCATTTTTGGAAAACCTTTTAGAATTGCGCACAATTCTTCATTTGATAAATTAGTCTCGCTTAGATGAAGTGTCGTCAAATTTGGCCAACCATTTACTATTGAATGCCTTTCTCTAAACCTTTTAAATGATTCTCCAATTTGTGAACACCCATCAACTAATAAGGTCACAAGTTTTGGCAATAATAGCAAGTTGCTTGGTAGATTCTTCAGTCTTGTGCAACTTGAAATATCCAAGTACTCAAGCCCTGTAAGGTTGCTGATGGACTTTGGAAACTCCTTAATGGCAGTATTTACCAAGTAAATCTTTAATGGCTTATCCATCTTTTGCTTTACATCTGGGAAGCGTTCAAATCTTGTGCAGAAGTTGAATGAAAGCACCTCGAGGTATGGTAAATTCATGCTGCACACAAAACTTTTGAGCTTGTTGCACCTGGAAGCACTTAAATACACAAGCTTAGGCATAAATCCAATGGATTTATCAAATCCTTCCACTTTATGGCATCTGTCAAGTGTCAAGACTTTTAAATTTATAGCTCCAGACACATTAGGAATTCGAGTTATGGACTGACACTGTGATAGGTTGATGAATGTCAAATCCTCAAATTTCTACGAAAAACAAAGTTATCAAAATGATCAGGAGCATATTCAGTAATTTTAAGTTTTAAATCATGTTATATATCTATACCTATATCTATATGTATATTATAGAGAGAGAGAGAGAGCGAGAGAGAGAGAGAGAGAGAGAGATGTACCTGAAATGGCTTTTCCAACATTAGAAAACTATGAGGTAGCTTGAAATCAACAATCCTTTGGGGATAAAATTGTGGTGGGAAAGACTTGGATGGGTAACCTTTCCAATCAAGCAGTCGTAAAGTATTTGGTAGATAACTAGGTGCCTTTGAAAATGATGTGTTCCGAATAATTAGAATTCTTAGGTTCTTCATCATCTCAAAAGCAGTATCTGTCCACTCATATACATCTACATGACTGGGGGGATCAAGCATTATTGCTTCAATTCTGTTGCTTCCCTGCATATAAAAACATGTACGTAGTTATCACTAATTATATTTGTCATTGCACAACGACATATAAAGGTAACTAATTAAGATAAGAGTAAAAAATATTAGATTCTTACCGAGTTTTCTTTAAGTACTCGAAGAACTTCCTTATGAGACCATAGTCTGCTACGGTCACCAACATTTGATGACTCCTTTCTAACAATCTCCCTACCCATATCTTGTATTAGATCATGCATATCCAGGCAGCCATTTTCATCTATAGTTATGAGACATTTCGCAATAAATATTTGTATACTTGGGAAGAAATCACATGCCCTTAGTATCCTTTCAACATATTCCCATTTCTCTCCTTTGAAGAAACAAGCAATGTCCAAGAAAATTTTCTGGTCCAAGTCATATAAGCTATGGTAGCTTATTTCAAGTACTTTTTGAATCTTGTCATTTAGAATATTTTCATATTTGTTTAATTCCATTTTCCAATCCTTTAGGCTCCTATCCTTTAGATTGGAGCCTATTACTTTTAAAGCTAACGGAAGACCTTTTGCATAAAGCACTGCAAGATTAGAAACTTCTTCAAAGTTTTTTTCTGGTGCACTCTTTTTGAAGGCATGCCAACAAAAGAGTTCAAGAGAGTCACGTTCATTTAGCTCCTTCATTTCATATTTTTGAATGATAACACCATTAATGACATGCTCATCTAGCAGTGTTGTATCCCTTGTTGTTATAATTATCCTACTGCCAGTACCAAACCAGTCACCTCCTCCAACTAGGGACTCCAATTGTTTTATCGTACCAACATCATCCAAAACTAAAAGAACCTTTTTACGACTAAGTCTGCCTTTGATTTCATTGGCCCCATTAAAAGTATTGCCCATCATGATTTCTGTTTTTTCACCCATCTCAGATAGAAGTGTCTTTTGAAGATCTTCGAGGCCTTTAGAGCTTTTGTTTGATTTTTCTCTGACATTAGCAAGAAAACTTCCAGCTTGAAAATGATGTCTGATATTGTTATATATATTCAAGGCAAATGTAGTTTTGCCAATTCCGCCAGCTCCATAAATTTCTAAGATGCAGACAGTATCATGAGACTCAATATTTATGATTGGTTTCACCTCTTGAAACCGAGAATCAATACCAACTACATGTTTAATAGGTAAGGGGATTGCAGGTAATTTAGCATAAGTGTCTTTAACAATCTTCTCAATAAGTCCAGGTTCACACCTACAGGAACACACAATACTCTTTTTATTTATTCATAGTATACTAAACAAGAAAGAAATCCTTAAATGAATAAAATCATGTTAGAAACATGGAGAGAGAAAATATAAGACTCAAATAGAAGTGTATTGAATATATGAGAAAGACGATTACAAAGTGATTATGAAGCCTTTATATAAGCTAAGACAGAAACTATCCACTAACAAACTCTTAATCTTAACTAATTCCTAACCAATTACATCTCTAATTAATCATGAACGATCATACAAAGAAAGATATTAGTGTTGCACAATAGTATACATCTTTCATAATCAAAAGCATTCATGTACGTCAGTACTTTTTTCATACATAAAATCACCTTCAAATACACTTGATGAGTGAGCTGTTTGGGAATGTTTAAATTCCTAATAACAATTGTTCTTTTTTGTTAGTTTAATTTTGTCAAAAACTTGACATAAAAGACATTATTTCTGTAAAAATAAGTTAATCTAAATACTGATAACTTAATATTTTATTTCAAGAACACAAGCATGTTAAAAACAACAATAAATTAATTTCACTTCATGCTAAAATGGTATGAAAATTGAAGTCTTAAGAACATACAGGTCGTCTTTGCAGTGTTCTGCGGTCAGGTGGCGTGTTTCGGACAAAGCCTTCCTCCATATTTTGACCTTCTCCTCAAAGTCTTTTCCGAATCTCTTTTCATGTTCAATCATGGCTTTTGCGTACTTTTCCTTCTGCTCCCACACATGAGAAGGTTCCACTTTGTAAAATATGAGCAGAATTTGTTTCCCTTTGTTAGCATGATAGCAGCGAATGATGTGTGCAAGTTCGTCAAGGCACCAAGTGGAAGAGGCGTAGTCTTCACAGAGCACAACAATCCACATTCTAGATTTTTCTATTGCCTTCACCAGCGAGGGCCTGATTTCTGCCCCAATCCTAAGCTCGTTGCTGTCTCTGAAAATGTACATTCCCTTTTGCCGCAAAGCCTCGTACAGATCATTCGTGAACCCGTAACGGGTCCCTCCTCTAAAACTCAGAAATACATCATAGAAGAAATCATCCTCATTCAGGTTTGCCATGACAGTGCTAAGTAAACGTTGCACTTTGAGAGAGGTTTTGCAGCTAGTGCTTTATGGGGATCACTTGATTAGAACTGTCGTTAAATTCATATAATTGGGATCACTTACCACTCTCATGAATACACCTACAGAGTATTTATCAACTTTGTTGATAACTAATCTCAGAAGATATGAAATTTTAATAAATTAAAATAACTACTAAATAACTTGACCTTTTAATATACAAAAACATGTGTATGATTGCAACTAAGATAAGAATGATCTAATATCTCAAATGCAATGACTCTAATAATATCAACGGATTAAAGTCAAAACAAAACTATATGAAACAAGTTGTCCGGAGTTACTTAGGTCCCTTAATCTTTTTTCATATACTAAAAGCAATACTGAAAGGACAGGCTCGATAGTGAGTGCCCACCGTTCCTTAGAAGCTCCGCCCTTGTGATGTTGTAAGCGTTGACTTTGAAAACTAGCAGGAAATTTCTTATGCCATGGGTAGGAATATTTTATACAAGTTTGAAAGGAGGAAACTCCTACTCTACAAAGTCAATATGCAACTTGCATAATTCTAGGAAATAACTATATACAACCATACATATGTAACATTTCTTATTTATTTATTGTCATGTATTTGTCCTCATATTAATAATATAAAAAAATAGAGAAATAATTACACTAACATTGATCTCCACCTCTGGTTTGAAATGTTGATGATAGTTAAAATGTCAGTGATCACTCCCAACTATGGTCTCTTAAGTGAATCTTGAGTACTTAAAGAAAACTCAGCAAGAATCGTATCACTTGTACTCTTATTTTTAATATTTAACGTTATTTGTTTTTGTAAGATGATAAATATAATCAGCGGTAACTCTACAATTTTTTATGTATAGGGAAGCAATAAAATTGAAAAGATAATGCTTGATCCTCCAGACAGGAAGAAATATATGATTGGATAGATACTAGCTATCTATCTTATACTTTAAATTTGCTTGAGTGGAAAGGGTACCCCATCAAAGTCTTTTCTACCATATTTTTATCCCCACAGCCACAGGATTGTTGATTTCAAGTTATCTCATACTTGTCTAATGTTGGAAGAACCATTTCAGGTACAAATTATCTCTCTCTCTCTGTTTTATAAACATAAGAATATTGTCATTGTAATTACCATTTTATTTTTTTGGATAATAGTAGAGACTAATCTTCATCAAAGACAATAAACGCACATAAGTAAATATTTTCCTTTCGATATAGTCGATTCCATACTTAATATTAGGATTTGAATCCTAAACAATTAGATTAAGAAACATAAATCATTATTATTTATGTCTTTAGTAGTCATCACCATATAAAAAACGTATGCCCCTAATCAATAACTCAAATACCTGATGTGTTTCGAGTTATAGATTTAAAAGTTGACACCTGACAGATGCCATGTGGAATTCAGGATTTCATAAAATCATAAATCCATTGGATTTTATGCCTAACCTTGTATTTTTAAGTAAATCAGAGTGCAACAAGCTCAAAAACTGTGACAAAAATGTATTTGCCTTCTCCCAAGTTACTTTAATTTAACTTATGCAGAAGGTTTGAATGCTTTTCACATTTGTCCGTAACATAGTATTTTGGTTGGAGGAAAAATAAGGGGAGGAGAGAGGTTTTCAAAAACTTTTCTTATTTAGTTCAATTTTTAAGAGGGGAGGTAGGGAAGAAAAATCACTCATAACTCAATTTTAACTCCCTTCTAATATTGGAGCAATTTGGAGGGTAGGGAGGGATTTTAAAATATTTTTAATATAATATCTAAAATATCTTTATTTATGTTATTAAATTTAAAATTACAAAGATGCAAAAGTACATTGGATTTTAAAATCTTTTCCATCCCCTTGTATATCAAACAAGAAAAAGTTATCTTTCCTCCTTTCAATCAAACAAAATTTCTAAATCCCCCCTTTCAATGAAGTCTCTTCCCTCCTCTTTTGACATACCACACATTTACTTTCATGTAAATTTTTTTTTTTATATTACATATATGTTACACATTTTTATTTCAATTAAAATTGATAATTTATTAAAATATTTTTTAATTTTTATTACCATTATTCTCCTACTTGTTTAACAAATTGTCTAACAACATACACATCATCATTTTGTGTTTTAATTTTTTATGAAGTGCACCAACATGACTTAATTTTAAAAATTATGAAACCAAATTTAAGATAAGAAAATTTAGGGAACCAAAATTCATATTTATAGGATCAAACGTGAATTTAAACCAAAATAAAATTAAAATCTTATTCTTATCATAGGGTACTTTTGTTGTATCTCACTCTAGCATCTTAATGTTTTGTATTTATAGATTCTCGTTAATCTTTATGCACTAATTTTCAACCTCCTAAATCAGTAGTTTTAGGATATACTTATGAATCTTAAAAAAGATAATTTAAAAAAGATAATTCGAAAAAGACAATTTACCTAATTTTTTTTGGTCAATTCGTAAAGTCAACTCGAGTACATTTTTATGCATTAACATCCACGGTGAGAATTGATGATACCAACCAGGCCTACATCTGCAAATAGAAGTCTCAACTTCAACGTTCAATTATTATTACTACTACTATGGCAAATGGTTATGCAACAAAATTATCAGATTTCAGCTACGATGTTTTTCTGAGTTTTAGTGGCGGAGCCAGCAATGCTTTTGTTGATCCTCTATGTCGAGCTTTGCATCACAGAGGAATCAACATCTTCAGATCAGAAGATGGCAAAACCAGACCCGCCATTGAAGAAATTGAAAAATCCAAAATGGCAATGGTTGTGTTGTGTCACAACTATGCATTTTCCAAGGAGTCCCTTGATGAACTAGCCAAGATCAGTGAGTATGTTGACAATAAAAGAAAACAGGTTTGGGCAATTTTTTACAAAGTGGAACCATCAGATGTACGAAAACAAAAAAATTCCTATAAAAAAGCCATGGATGGTCATGAAATGAGATACGGAAAAAACTCGGAGAAGGTAAAAGCATGGGGGAATGCTTTGACTAGAGTATGCGATCTAAGCGGAATACATTTCAAGGATGATATGTAAGTTACTCTTACCAAATTCTATATCATTTGGTTGTTATTAATGTAGTCAGCTATCATTGGACATAGCCGCTATGTGCACTTAAAAAAATTTGCCAAATGCAAGATTTTAAATTAGTGGTGGCAATAGTGGTAGGGGTGACCTCATTGTAATTTTTTATATTACTAAAGAGAAATGCCAACAATGCACTATTTTGAACTAATTCTTTATTATTGACAAGAATGTTAGAAATCACAAAATTTTATTGTATCACTGCTTATCTAACAAGTACCACTTGATGATTTTGTAATTTCCAGTAAACTTTAATCAAAATAAAGAGTTTGTTAGAAAATGTGTTACTAGCATATCTCCTTGTGGTTGATGCAGCCATAATTGCAGTCACAATGTTACCTAAGAAACTCCCAAAGGCCAAAACCTTGCTGCTGTGGCTGCAGTTACGGCTATAAACTGTTTTTTAAAGTTTGGATAAATGTTAAACACTAAGTTGCATGGTTTTAATTAAATTAAGGTCAGCAACTGCAATTGTGGGGGCTGCAATGGTCACATTTGTTTGCAATTTTTCGCAATGTTAATAATTACAACGCAACTGCAATTTAAAATCATTTAAGTTGATATAGTTGTTTCATTTTAGTTCGTCTGTCATATTGAACGTGATTATATGTTAAAAAGAATGGAAACGCCTGAGATCTTTTATTGTACGAGTATGGTCTTTGCTAGAGTCTAATTTTTCTTTCCAGTATAAGTGCAGGATTTTAACTGTGCGTTTTTTTTTTTAAATTAGTACTATAATGAAATAGGAAGAGTGTTATACTCCTGTAGGTTTGAAGCTGAACTTGAGAAGATTGTTGAAGCAGTGTTCTCTAAATTAGCTCCCGTGCCTGTACAAATGAACCATGTAGTTGGACTCGATTATCACTTTGAACAGGTGAAATCATTTTTAGATGTTGAGTCTAGTGATACCGTTCGCATGTTGGGAATTTATGGAGCTGGAGGAATAGGTAAAACTACACTTGCAGTCTATTTATATGAAAAGATTAGGCATTATTACTTTGAAGCTGCTAGTTTTCTGATTAAAGACAGAGAAAACCCAAACAAGAGCAATAATCTCTTGGAAGATCTTCAAAAGAAACTTTTATCTCTAATGGGCGTAGAGACAGAAACCATGATGGGGAGTACAAATAAAGGAGAACTTGAAATCAAACGCAGGCTTGGCCATAGAAGAGTTCTTCTAGTTTTGGATGATGTTGATACAAAAGAACAATTGGAATCACTGGTTGGAAAACTTAATTGGTTTGGTTCGGGTAGTAGGATCATTATAACAACAAGAGATGCAGCTGTGCTGGATTATGATAATGGAATTAAGAAATATAAAATGGAGGAGCTAAAAGATTGTGACGCACTTGAACTTTTTTGTTGGAATGCCTTTGATATGCCTGGACCTGCAAAAAACTTTGAAAATATTGCTCATCGTGCAATAGGTTATGCAAAGGGTGTCCCTTTGGCTTTACAAGTATTAGGATCCAATTTGAAAGGAAGAATCATAGAGGAATGGGAAATTGAATTGGGAAAATATAGGAAGGTTCCAAATGCTGAGATTCAAGGTGTCCTAGAAATAAGTTATTATAGCCTGCCTGAGCCTGAGATGAAAATATTCTTGGACATTGCTTGTTTTTTCAAAGGGGAGAAATCGAATTATGTTAAAAGGATATTGATGGCTTCTGATTTAAGTATTCAAGTACTTACTTCTAAATGTCTATTGATAGTTGATGAAAATGGTTGCTTGGAGATGCATGATCTAATACAAGACATGGGTAGAGAGGTTGTCAGGAAGGAATCACCATATAAACCTGGTAACCGCAGTAGATTATGGTCTCATGAAGATGTTCTTCAAGTACTGAAAGAAAACTCAGTAAGAATCCTGTTTTCTACCACCATTTTTAATTACTTTTATATGTTTTTCTACTATGACTAAGGTAATTAGTGTTAACTCTTTATAAATGTTTCACAGGGAAGTAGTACAATAGAAGGAATAATGCTTCATCCCCCTAGGCTTGAAGAAGTAGAAAATTGGACTAATACCGCCTTTGAGAAGATGAAGAATCTCAGAATTCTTATTGTTCGGAATACAAAATTTTCAACAGGACCTAGTTATCTACCAAATAATTTACGACTCCTTGACTGGATTGGATTCCCATCGAAGTCTTTTCCACCTTCTTTTTATCCTGAGAATATCGTTGACTTCAAGTTATCTCATAGTCCTTTGGTATTGGAAAAGTCACTTGAAAAGGTATGCATATGCACATTTGCTTTTCTAAATTTTAAAACATGTAGTAAAATTGTCATTGTAATTATCATGATCTAAACTTTAATATGATTGAATATGCTCCTATTCTCCTAACCATTGTTACAATGTTGTGTTTAATAGGTATTTCAGGATTTGACTTTTGTCAATCTTTCCCATTGTCAGTTCATAACTCAAATACCGAACATGCATGGAGCTAAAAACTTAAGAGTATTGACAATTGACAAATGCCTTAAATTGGAAGGGTTTCATCAATCCATTGGGCATATGCCCAATCTTGTATACTTAAGTACATCAGAGTGTATCATGCTCAGGAGTTTTGTGCCAAGAATGTATTTGCCATCTCTGGAAATGCTTTCATTTAACTTTTGCAGTAAACTTGAAAAACTCCCAGAAGTAGTGAGAAAGATGGATAAACCATTAAAAATACACATGAAAAATACTGCTATTAAGAAGTTTCCGGATTCTATTTGTAAACTTACAGGGCTTGAGTATGTAGACATGTCAGCTTGCACAGGACTCAGAGATATATCAAGTTTTGTATCACTGCCAAAACTTGTCACGTTAAAGATGAATGGATGCTCTCAACTCGCAGAATCATTTAAAATGTTCAGAAAGAGCCTTTCTGAAGCAAATAGCCTGCCGAATTTAAAGGAATTACATTTAAGCAGGGCTAATCTGTCGTATGAAGATCTTTCCATAGTTCTTCATATATTTCCAGAATTGGAGTACTTGAATGTATCCCACAATGAAATTGAATCCATCCCAGAATGCATCAAAGGATCTTTGCAGTTGAAGAATCTTGATGTAAGTTTTTGCAGGAATCTTGGGGAAATTCCAGAACTTCCATCAAGTATTCAAAGAGTAAATGCAAGATACTGTCAATCCTTAACTATAGAGTCATCAAGAGTGCTGTTATCCAAGGTTAGGTACATTCTCCATTATTTCCCTTTTCTCATTTTCTTAGTTTGATTTCTGTTTGCAACTGTTTTTTCTCCTTGTTATGCTTTTGAAAATTCTTTCCACTCTAATATATTTTTGACCCATTTTGACAAAACCTATATTTATCAAACAACCCAGATTTAATCTTTCTAAAAATCAATGTTTTTTGTAACTTGGTGTAAGAGCATTATTTTTTTTAAAGCTATTTGACTTAACAAGGTATTCTACTAAATATTTATTATTTGTCTTAGCTTCGTAGTTTGCTATTTTTTTCATGTCACAGGTTTATAAAGAAATGGAGAGAATACATGTTGTGATGCCAAAAACTGGAATTCCAAAGGGGTTTCAATGTATTGACAGAGAAGATATTCCACTTTTTTGGGCTCGCCGGAAGTTCCCTGTTGTTGCTTTAGCATTTGTGTTTAGGGAAGTAAAAACTAAAGAGGATATACTGATGGATACCTCAGAATTGTTGCCTGGAGTTGTATCTGCTGAGGAGTCCTACACTGTCGGCCTGAACTTGTTTATAGGTGGCCAAGAAATCTGTTGCAAAGTTCACAATTACTGCAGTGTTGGGGATCATCACATGTTAGTATGTGATCTACAGGTTTTGTTTAATGATGAAGGGTGGAAGGGTCTTGATGCATATGTTGGAGATGACTGGAAAGCCATTCAAGTTCAATGTGAATCAACTTTGAGTCTGAGTCATTGGGGAGTTTATGTGTACAAGCAGAAAACAAACACTGATGATATTCTATTTAGTTTTCCCGATTCAACAAGTTTGGTTTCAAAAGCAAGTCCACAGAAGAAAACAAGACATATACAATGTTACGATGCAATAGAAAAATTTGGCCAGAACTTGAATTCATTTAAAATAGAACAAACTGCCTCAGTTGCAAACATGCTATTGAGATGGTGGAGGAATGCCAAGGCTAATATTAGAGGGGATGTTTCTGCCTCTACATATGACGCAAGTTTATTGCAAGAGCATGAAGATGTTGTCTGGGATCTGGCACACATTTTGGAGATGTTGATGGAAACATTGCCAAAACATACTAATTCAGAAGTTCAAAGAACAGGCCAATTGGTGGTTGAATTATTGGTTGCACAGGCACAACATATAAAGGAATATTACCATGAGAAGTTTCACTACAATCTAACTATGCCTATTATTCTAGTGGAATGTCAATGTCACCCTTGCACAGATTTAGAAAGAGCTCAAAGCCTTCGTTATTGGGGAACCGTGGAGCTAGAAGAAGGAGATCCACTTGTGTGGAAAATATGGAAGAGAAATGAAGCATTCAAGGAGAGGCTAAATTACACTGTTCTGTTGAAATGTGAGCATCATTCTACTAAGGAAGCTTCAAGCTCTAGCCATAGGGATTCCTTGGTGGAAGAATACAATGATCCTACATTGCAAGCATTGATGAGGAGGATAGAAGAAGATACTGCGAGGTTGAATAAATCTTATGCGAAGTTGAAGGCTTCTATTGTTCAAACGAATGTCCCAGTTTCTGAAAAATATCTTCTGGAAATGACAATCATTAGAGGTCTAGAAAGCTTGGGAAGATTAGGGTCTAATTTCTTCAAGACAACTTATGGGAAATTGAGGATGGAGCATGATGCTCATAGCACTACTCATGTGCAGCATGAGTTAAGGATGGACCATGGTGCTCAAAGCTCTACTTTGAATAAGGAGCAACATAAGTTGGGGGTGGAGCATGATGCTCAGAATTCTAATCAGGAAAAGAATAACTTGGTTTGGATCAGATTATTATTTGGTAGATTTTGGAGGCAAAGATAGTGAAAGATAGAACAAAGTGGTTTACCTCACCATGTGTTATGATTTTTTATATTCTGGTGAGTTGTTCAACGAATGGAATTGCTTTATGATTGCATGTTAGATGTTTCTCTCGTTTACACTATTAAATTAGTTGGTTTTCATATAATGTTTACTCCATTATTGTTCATTGATTGGTCTAAACCTTCACTTTCATTACCTTTGTACCTTCATGTTACAAATTTTTCAGGATGGTTCCACCAAAGACACGCCCTGTGAAAAGAATCAAGACTATTGCAGGGCGAACATCCCGTGCACCTGCATTTGACTACACCTTCCATCATAAGGAACATTAGAATTTTTATCCAAAGTTGGAAGAGAGAAGTATCTATATGGAGAGGATGGTTCAACTTAAGCCTAATGAATACCCTGAATTCTAGGAAGAAATCAAAAGAAGGAAGTGGGAAAAGCTAGCCTCCTACATGGCCCCTGCCAACATTTCTATTGTGCGGGAGTTTTATTACAATGCTGGGGTTCTTAGCAATGAGTTTCTTGAGTACACCAGCTATGTTAGGGGTGTCACTATCAGGTTTGATGCAAACACCATTAATGTTTTTTTGGGCACCCATCTGACAGAAGGCCTTAGGTATTTTGAGTATTCAGATTGGATATCCCCCAACAAGGATTATTAGTTGGTGGAACAAACTATCTATAAAACAGGGAAGAAATTTTAGTACACAAGCAGAGGAAAGATATCTCATATTCTGAGGGAAGATTTAATCCCAATGGCAAAAGTTTTGGTAGCTTTTATTCATGACAATCTTGCTCCGTGTTACTACACTTCTGATGTTTTGGAGCCAAGGGCACTGCTTCTCTATGCTATCATGGATAAAAAAAGTTATTGATGTAGGGGCACTCATAGCTGAAAAGATTAGAAGCTGTGCATTAGGGGGTAAAGGAATTATATGTGAGAGATAAAAAGAGTAAGAGAGCGAGAGAGAGAGATGAGAGAAGATTTGCAATAGGCAAAGAATGTAATTGATTAACTGCAGAAAACAGAGTACAAGACAGGTTTTATAGAGCCAATTAAGATTGGTCTATAATAACCTAATTATCTATAATAACAGAATAATAACCTGATTATCTATAATAACAGAAAGATAACCTAATTATCTATAATAACCGAAAATAACAATAAAGGAGTAAAACTGTACTCCAATAGCCCCTCGCAAGCTCAAGTAGGATGAGGAGACTCAACTACTTGAAGCTTGGACCGAAGTTCACAAAACCGCGTAGGTGAGAGAGCTTTGGTGAGCACATCAGCACACTGATCAATAGCTGGAACATGAACAACTTGAAGACACTTGGCAGCCACTTTCTCGCGAACAAAGAAAAGGTCTAATTCCATATGTTTGGTGCGTGCATGAAGAACCGGGTTGTGAGCGAGAGCGACAGTGCTCAAGTTGTCACAGAAGATAATTGGAGTAGAATGAGTGACTTTAAGTTCAGATAGTAAAGTTTGTATCCAAGTGACTTCTGTTGTGGCAAGGGCAAGGCTTCTGTATTCTGCTTCAGTACTAGAGCGGGCAACTACAGTTTGCTTTTTGGACCACCAGGATACGAGATTTGGTCCAAGGAAGATGGAGGCGCCAGATGTAGAACGTCTGTCGTCAGGATCAGACGCCCAGTCTGCATCACAATAGGCATGGATCGAGAGGGAGGAAGAAGAAGAGGCAGGTTGTAGACGGAGACCCCAAGATGTAGTGCCCTTTAGATACCTGAGAATTCTTTTGACAGCTGCCCAATGATGTGTAAGGGGATGGGACATGAATTGGCAGACTTTGTTTACAGAGAAGCTAATTTCGGGTCTTGTAATAGTAGCATATTGTAATGCACCTACAACTGAACGGTAGAGAGAAGCGTCCAAGAAATCTTCAGAGCCTACTTTTGATAGTTTGCTTCCAGAGATCATGGGAGAAGAAATAGGTTTTGAGCCTTCCATATCAGTACGATTCAATAGGTCACGAATGTACTTACTTTGAGTAAGAATGAGAGAACCATCAGGCTGAGACTTTACTTCAATGCCAAGAAAGAAATCAAGATCACCGAGATCTTTGAGGGAGAAGATTGAATGGAGTTGAGATACAAGCGTATGAAGAATTGAGGAATTATTGCCAGTGATTATAATGTCATCAACATACACCAGGATGTAGATGACATTATTGCCCTGAGAGTATATGAACAGTGATGGATCACATTTGCTGGCATAAAAGTTTAATTGCAGCAGAGTTGATTTGAGTTTGTCAAACCAGGCACGAGGTGCCTGTTTGAGCCCATAAATGGCCTTGTGAAGTTTACAGACGAGATTTTTATCAGAAGCTTCAAATCCAGGTGGCTGTTGCATGTAAACTTCTTCTTCAAGTGTTCCATTGAGGAAGGCGTTGTTAACATCAAGTTGTTGAATAGGCCAACGATGAGTGAGAGCAAGGGTGAGAATGAGTCTAACAGTAACGGGTTTGATGACAGGGGAGAAGGTTTCATGATAGTCAAAGCCAAATTGCTGATTAAATCCTTTGGCAACAAGGCGTGCCTTGTACTTTTGGACCGAACCATTAGGATTTTCTTTGACACGGAAAACCCACTTGCAGCCTATAGCAGTGCGATGCGGTGGAAGAGGAACAAGAGACCAGGTGTTATTGTGAAGGAGAGCATTGTATTCTGTTTGCATGGCAGCAGACCAGGTCGGATTAGATAAGGCTTGTTTGGTGGTTTTTGGTTCAACCTGGGTTAATAAAAGGGTGGGTTGGAGGCGTGGTTTAACTATACCATCTTTTGCTCTTGTGGTCATAGGGTGCACATTGTGAGGGTGAATAATAGGAGATGAGGAAGGTTCAAGGTTGGAGGATGTGGGAATGGATAAAGTGGAGGGAGAGGTGTGGGCAGCAGTGTTGGGGCTGTAAGAATCAGAGATTAGGCTTGGTGAGGTTGTTGGTGGATTGGGAGAGGTGAGTCTGGTTGCATGAGTGGGTGTGGGAGTGGGATTTATAGTAAGAGGAACTGAAATAGGAAGTTGGGAGTCACTAGCCTTGGAAGAGGAGAAAAGATCCTTGTAGGGAAATTTAGTTTCATTAAACACTACATCTTTGGAGATGTAGAGACGTCCATCAGCAGCAAGGCATTTGTAACCTTTGTGAGAGGTAGAGTAACCAAGAAAAACGCATTCTTGGGATCGGAATTGAAGTTTGTGTTTGTTGTAGGGCCGAAGATGTGGGAAGCAGGAGCAACCAAAGATTCTAAGAGAGAGATAATCTGGTGGTTGATGGAAGAGCTTATGATAAGGGACAGCATTTTGAATAGATGAGGAGGGGAGTCTATTGATGAGATAAACGGCAGTGAGAAAGGAGTGATCCCAGAACTGCATAGGTAATTCAGCTTGAGCCATCAACGTGAGACCAAGTTCAACAATGTGTCTGTGTTTTCTTTCAGCAACTCCATTCTGATGGTGAGTGTGTGGACAGATTAGACGGTGTTGAATTCCAACTTCATTCAAATAAGTAGTGAAGGAACGATACTCACCACCCCAATCAGTTTGCAAAGCTTTGATTGGGTGGTGATATTGATTTTTAACCATAGCGTGAAATTGTTTGAAAACATTAAAGGTTTGAGCTTTAGACTTGAGAAGGTAGATCCATGTAAAGCGTGTGTGAGCATCGACAAAAGTTACATAGTATTGATATCCACAAGTTGACGTAACCGGAGCAGGTCCCCACAAATCGCTGTATACTAAATCAAAGGGTGTATTGTAAATAGTTCTGGACAGATTGGAAGGTAATCTGTGGGATTTACCAAGACAACAAGGAGTGCAGAAATTTGATTTATTATTGCTCACAAGTTGAATGTTGTAGTTCCGTGAAACATGTTTCATTACATCAACATTGGGATGTCCTAATCTAGAGTGCCAAGTGGCAAAGGAAACAGGGCTTGTTGCTGCAGTATTGACAGAAAAAATTCTGGCCAGTTGCTGTTGCTGGACAGATTGCGTACTGGGATTAGGAAGGAGTGCAGGGAACTTGTACAGGCCATCTGAACCAACCGAGCCTTGGAGAAGAACTTCATTAGTGTCCTGTGATTTGACCAAGCAAATGTGGGGGTGAAATTCAAAATATACAGAATTGTCCTTGGAGAATTGGCTAACACTGATTAGATTTTTTGTGATGGATGGTACAAATAGAAGATTGTTTAGAGCAAATTGAAACTTAGGGTTGATTGGAGAATGAAAAGTGGTAACACCTGTGGAGTTAATGTGAAGCCCTTGTCCATTGCCAACATGGATTTGATCGGGTCCTTCAAAAGGAGTGAATTGATGAATATTTTGAGAAACATTGGTAACATGATTTGATGCCCCAGAATCCGGATACCAATTGTTGTTGCTGGAAGAGGAGGATGATGCAATCATGGCTTGAGGTTGTGGCTGGGTGGAGGTGAATTGGACTTGAGGAGTAAATTGAGGTCTAGGTCCAAGAATTCCATGCTGATAAGGAGAAGACAAGGTAGGTTGATTGTTGTACCATGCGCCTGGGTTTGTATGTTGGTTGTTGGAGGGGTACGCGGGTGCTTCAAGGGGTGAGGATGGGACATAGGTTTCATCAAAACGATAATAGCAAGCAGAGGCAACATGTCCATACCTGTGGCAGACTTGACATTGGTACCCAGCGAATCTGCCTCGACCACGTCCTGCCCAATTGGAGAAACGACCACCACGAGAATTGGTACGACCCCCTCGACGATGAGAAGGGCCAGACTGATTGTTTTGATGAGTAAGGTGTGCTTGTGGGTTTGTGGCAGATGGGTCAGGTTCAGTGACGGCAGTGGTGACATTAATGGAGGCAGCGGCTTTCTTCTTGAATTTGTCAAGACGGGATTCATGGCCAAGGAGCAAGGTCTCGACTTCATCAATGGTTAGAAGGTCAAAACGGCTACTAATTAGAGACACGGTGGATTCGTATTCTTCGGGAAGACCTTCAAGAATTATATCAAGATGTTCCTTTGGAGAAACTGAGTCGCCTATGGCTGTGAGGGCATCAACTAGGGTTTGAATTCGAAGCACATATTCAGAGATGGACAGATTGTCAAGGGTGGTGCTGCGAAGTTCATTGCGCAATTGGCGGGCTTTGGCATTCATATGAGAGTGGAAGTAGGTGTGAATTTTGTCCCAAAGCTGGAAGGAGGACTTGCAACCAATGACTCGTGTAAGCATGTCTTTAGACATGGAGGACTGTAGCCAAGATAGTAGCAATTGATCTTGCTGTTCCCAGGCAAGATAGGATTCAGAGATGTGACCAGCATCTCGGTCAGCAAGCGTTGCAAATTTTTGAGGAATTTGGGGGTTGACAAGATAATGGTGAAGACGGTGACCTTTGATGACGGGTTCAACCTGTTGACACCAAAGAAGATAGTTCTTGGTGTCAAGCTTTTCGGAGATGGTGTGAGAGAAGGTGAGAGACGGATGGGAGTTAGAGGGAGGATTCTTGGGTGGGACGGTGTTGACTGGGTGGGCATGAATTGGTGGAGGAGGCGGTGGTGGTGGGGAAGAATTCATTGTAGAGGCAGATTCAGCCATGGAAAGGTTTTGGACGAGCGTGAACGAAGAGAAGAAGGGGATCAAGAAGCTCTATGATACCATAAAGGAATTATATGTGAGAGATAAAAAGAGTAAGAGAGCGAGAGAGAGAGATGAGAGAAGATTTGCAATAGGCAAAGAATGTAATTGATTAACTGCAGAAAACAGAGTACAAGACAGGTTTTATAGAGCCAATTAAGATTGGTCTATAATAACCTAATTATCTATAATAACAGAATAATAACCTGATTATCTATAATAACATAAAGATAACCTAATTATCTATAATAACCGAAAATAACAATAAAGGAGTAAAACTGTACTCCAATAGGGGGAGGTGATGCAGCTGATGATGAGGAGCTTCTAATCTCTTCAGCTATGAGTGCCCCTACATTAATAGCTTTTTTATCCATGATAGCATAGAGAAGTAGTGCCCTTGACTACAAAACATTAGAAGTATGGCAACATAGAGCAAGATTGACATGAATAAAAGCCACCAAAATTTTTGCCATTAGGACTAAATCTTCCCTTAGGATATGAGATATCTTTCTCTTGCTTGTGTACTAAAATTTCTTCCTTGGTTTACAGATAGTTTGTTCCACCAACTCATAA